CTCCAGTAAATTTTTGGCCAATCCCCCCCCCCCCCCCCCCCCCTTTTTCCTAAAAGAAAAAAGATAGGGTATCTTAAAATTAGGTTCGATCAGCGCACAGGGTCAATGGCCCCGGAAAATGCCACCACAGTTATCTTTCAAATATCGGACCATTGTCAAAAGGGGGTCTTACTGCCTATCTTGTCAAGGTTCACTCAGAACAACTGGTCATTGTACTTTCGGGTCACGGCAAAAGCTACTGTTTGGGTTTTCCATTTGGGCCATACTATTTGTGCTTTAGGAGAAGGAGAGGTTGTGTTATTGTAACAGCAAGAGCTATGGACCATCGAGATTGCATAAAATTGGGAAAGAGGTGCAGTTCCAACGTCTCTATTACATCCTTTACCACTCCACCTCGCGCGGCTGCGTTGTAGGTTGATGGAATAGGATGGGATGAATACGTGCTTCCCAGCAGCTACCTCCAGAAGTTTATTTATTGTAAGTTATCGACGTTTATCGAAGAAATACTTGAGTGCAACTTTTGTCGTGTGACAAACTAGTATTGCCAACGGCGATGGCACCAACGCCAAATCCAGCTGAAGAAAGATTAATAGACCGATCTCACCAAGCGTTCGGCGCATGCGTGACGCCGCCGTAACTTTAGTTCACTGGAGGCAAACGACAGTGCGCGAGAGGGTTCATGCCGTCTCGTGGTCTACACGCGCAGAGCTCCAGCGAGGTTGTCGCACGTGCAGAAAGACTAAAGTTCCCTCGATGCATTGCGGCAGCGGTGGAGTAGTCAGACTGGCTGCTGAGATCGGTCTATTGATACAAGCGCGTCTTATTGTATTTTTTATCTAGCACAACTTTGACACCCTAATATAATTTATTTATTTTAATAGGAAACGCTGCGAAATTAAATTCCGAATTTTTGAGAATTGGGAGTCAAACAAAAATAAACTCCGATAAACTCCGACTTTGCGGGGGGGGGGGGGGGGGGGGGGGGGAATAAACTCCGAAAACATAAAATCTTACTTATAACACATCGCACAAACATCCCGAAAACGACATTCGTTATTGAATCTGTCTTGTTGGTATCTCCTATCAATATTTTTTATAATATACGAGATATTATTTAAATAATTTTAAATATGTTTTTCGATCGCTGCATTCTTTTCTCTGCCGTTTTTTTTTTGTGTGTGTGTGTGTGTGTGTGTGTTCTTGTGAATTTTTTTTTTTTTTTTTTTTTTTTGGCACGCAAGCAGCATATTGC